TTTTGCCCCATTGAAAAATAACAGACTTACTGGCTGGATCACCAGATGAAAATAGAAGAAAGCCTAAAAAAGGAAACTAATGCAGCCATGACATCTAAGAATTAGTAACTGCAATATAATAAATGTTTACTTTTGGGTTTAATACCACGTTAGGCACTCTTTCTTTTGACTCTGCACCTAAGTTTGACCTCACAATTTCTGGCAATGGAGATATTTAATTTCCATCTCCAGATATTAAATGAGATTTACTGGCTAGATATAAGTAAGATACCAGAGAAAAGGACTTTTAGTGACTGTTCGATACATCCTGAGATTTTCTGCTGCCCAAGATGTTCTTTCCCAGCTAAGCTCAGTGCTATTTCATGCTTGTGATTTTTGTTGAACACCACTCAGCCATGAATGCCAGATGCCTGGAGCACTGAACTGGTTGTGTTCACCTCCTGTAACATTATAATGCTGCCCTAATGGACATCTGATTACATAACATGATAACGTGTTCTTTTAATTATGGAGAATATGGAATAAAACAGAACTTGTGGATTTTAAAAGCCTGACATAACAAGGAGACTAGACTGTGAGTCCAAAGCATCTTCTTAGTGTACAAGAGGGATATACGGTGCCTTAAAAAGTATTCCTCCCCTTTGAAATTGTCCACATTTTGTCATGTTACAACCAAAAACGTAAATGTATTTTATTGGGATTTTATGTGATAGACCAACAAAAGTGGCACATAATTGTGCAGTGGAAGGAAAATGATAAATGTTTTTCAAATTTTTATTACAAATGAATATGTGAAAAGTGTGGCGTGCATTTGTATTCAGCCCCCCGGAGTCAATACTTTGTAGAAACACCTTTCACTGCAATTACAGCTGCAAGTCTTTTTGGGGATGTCTCTACCAGTTTTGCACATCTAGAGAGTGAAGATTTTGTCTGTTCTTTGCAAAATAGCTCAAGCTCTGTCAGATTGGATGGAGAGTATCTGTGAACAGCAATTTTCAAGTCTTGCCACAGATTCTCAATTGGATTTAGGTCTGGACTTTGACTGGGCCATTCTAACACATGAATATGCTTTGATCTAAACCATTCCATTGGAGCTCTGGCTGTATGTTTAGGTTCATTGTCCTGCTGGAAGGTGAACCTCCGCCCCAGTCTTTTGCAAACTCTAACAGGTTTTTTCTAAGATTGCCTTGTATTTGTCTCCATCCATCTTCCCATCAACTCTGACCAGCTTCCCTGCCCCTGCTGAAGAAAAGCATCCCCACAACATGATGCTGCCACCACCATGTTTCATGTTGGGGATGGTGTGTTCAGGGTGAGTGCTTGTTTACCACCACACATACAGTTTTGCTTTTAGGCAAAAAGTTCAATTTTGGTCTCATCTGACCAGACCACCTTCTTCCACATGTTTGCTGTATCCTCCACATGGCTTCTCGCAAACTGCAAACGGGACTTATTTTGGCTTTCTTTCAACAATGGCTTTCTTCTTGCCACTCTTCCATAAAGGCCAGATTTGTGGAGTGCACGACTAATAGTTGTCCTTTGGACAGATTCTTCCACCTGAGCTGGGAATCCTTGCAGCTCCTCCAGAGTTACCATGGGCCTTTTGGCTGCTTTTCTAATTAATGCTCTCCATGTCCGGCCTGTCGGTTTAGGTGGACGGCCATGTCTTGATAGGTTTGCAGTTGTGCCATACTCTTTCCATTTTCAGATGATGGATTGAACAGTGCTCTGTGACATGTTCAAAGCTTGGGGTATTTTTTTTATAACCTAACCCTGCTTTAAACTTCTCCACAACTTTATCCCTGACCTGTCTGGTGTGTTTCTTGGTCTCCATAATGCTGTTTGTTCATTAATGTTCTCTAACAAACCTCTGAGAGCTTCACAGAACAGCTGTATGTATACTGAGATTAAATTACACACAGGTGGACTAATTAGGGGATTTCTGAATTCCACTAGATTTTAGTTAGGGGTATCAAAGTAAAGGGGGCTGAATACAAATGCACGCCACACTTTTCAGATATTTATTTGTAAAAATTTTGAAAACCATTTATCATTAATCCCAATAAAATACATTTACGTTTTTGGTTGTACCATGACAAAATGTGGAGGATTTTAAGAGGTATGAATTCTTTTTCAAGGCACTGTAGACATGCACACTTAGATTGAGCAAGAATGAATGTCTATTAGAGAGAAAGAGATGAGCAAGTATCCATGCAGACTGGCATTTCACTGACCCATCAACAAATCTAATTGCACAATTTAAAAACATGTGGCTAAATTCAGAGAATATAACAGAACAAATGCTGGAAGAACAAACACATAGGAACAGATGGAGGAAGTATAAAGTCATTAATCAAAGGTACGCTGTAGCACCCTCTTCTATGGATGGTGCCATTAGGTAAGTATGAGTATGTATAGTAATGCAGCTAAATAATAACTTTGCAAACTCAAAGAAAATCCCATAAAGCCAATCAAATTTACCTAAGAACAATGGACTTTAGGTTACTGCTTTTGTACCTGAAGACGCAAGATGCTCCAGTCAACTCAACAAGGTCAGGTGATGAGCATGTAATATTCATAAATACATGTAGCTCATTTGAACATTAAAAAAGATTCTTGAAATTTCACAAACAGCAAGGAGTAGAGGCAAATGTCCCATCTACAAAATGCTGTAAAGTTGCAATAGTATTGAAAAACAGATGCCTTCAAGTGCCTGTGTGTACCTCCTATTATTTCTGCAGAGATCCAGGATCCCAAAACCTGAGATGCTCTGATATGCAAATATTGACTTTCTCAGCAAAACTCAAGGGCTGGCCTGTCCCCCAATGTCCCCCTCTCTTTTGTTTTTGATTCAGCCGTTATGTTTATGAACCAATTGCTAGACGCATGTAGAAGACAAGCCTGCCTCAACCTGTTTCAGGGTTGACATATAAGAATGCCCCAGGAGTCAGGGTCCCTGGGTACTGAAAAAGACATTAGGGGGTACATGTAGTCACCTGTGGGTTGCTGCTTTGCAACATTTTGTGAACAGTAAGGGTTCATGTACACTGCAGCTGATAAACTCACATTCAGGAGCTTTTCTGCATTTTTTTTAGCAGCCCCTGAACTCTGTCTAATGTTTTCCTATGTGTCCATGTAAACTATGTCATTTACAGTCGTTTACAGGCAGTTTAGTTTACAGTTGTTTTTTTAACGCACCAAACTTGCGTTCAGGAGTAGATTTTATCAGCGTTTGAAACGCCAATCGCTTGTAAACGTGGCTAACCGCATTTGTAGGCATCTCCATTTAGAAGCATTTTTTTTAACTGTTCCATGTCCAGATGCTGTCCAGAGCCTTTTTTCATCATCAGAAATGCATGCAAAGTATTTTCCATGTATTCAAATGGACCCGGTACACCAGTGCAGTCAGTTCCAGGTTTTGCGTGAATGAAAAAATGGTAGAACGTGCCGCATTATGCTCATGATGGGATCCATAGTGAATACAACCAGAAAAGACAGGTCATCTCAACACATACTGCTCTCTCTGCTTCTGCTCTCTCTATTTCTCTCAAAATGTCTGAAACAGTTCTTTACTGTTTTTCAGTGCATGCTGGTCATTTTGGTCTCCTGAGATTATCTTTAAAAAGTGCTTCTAAACGTGCATAAACGCGGTATGAAAACGTGGCTAAACAGACTTTTTTTAACCTACGTTTTCCAGCAGTCAGTTTTCATCGTTCAGAAGTGTTTTCCAAACGTCCCGTGTACATGGAGCCTAAGGCTTGCTTCATCGTTTTATATACATAGCAAAGTTTTTTACAATACCTGGATTGAGTAGGAACTGTTGTATTTTGAATATATATTTGCCACTGGAATATCCGAACCATCTACTGTACATGAAGAATATGGAGCCTCTAAATGTTGTGTTTGATCCTACAATGAGAAACACATAAAACAATGGTTATATTTCTACTCTAAACAGATGACAAAACTGAATTTCCCAACTCCTTCAGAGGAACAGCTTTATACACATATTTCTATCTGCTTAAAGTGGACCTTTCACCAATATTCAAATTGGCTTTCAGTCAGACCCACCTTAAGCGATCACATGTAGCTTTTTTACTTTATTCTAGTAAAATACCACATTATTTTTACTACATTCCATTTTCTTATTTCTGACCTAGGCAACTTTATTGTTCCTTTAGCTACCGACAGTCTACTGAAATATCCACTTCACTCATCGCAGAAGGTTGATGGACAGCAAATACTAAAATTTTGCGAGGTTGACAAAGTATTGGGGTAATTTATGCTTGTATAGCATTTTGTAGAGGCACGTCACCAGAAGTTATGATCGTGAATCCAAGATGATGATGCGGAATAAGAGACAAACAAGTAAAACTTTGGATGTGGCTAATTTAGATTTTTGATATTTAAGTGAAAGGTCATCCTTAAATATTGCCATTTATGCTTCTTCATAACATCTGTTACTGACCATCACCAAAAGTTTACCATTAAAATAATGTGAAGATTTAGGCTTGGTTCACACTACAGCAATATGATGCAATTTACATTGTGATTATGTGGTGTGACTCTGATGCAATGTTGTATATTCTGTGGGGCCAAGTCACACTGTATATCAAGCCAAAGTTGTGTGGGAAACATTTCTCAAATCACACCGTTCTGGGTTGAATTGATTAGAACAGGCATCATTGACAACACTGAGACTTCCCTTGTCATATGACTCTGTGTGACTCGAGTCGCATCAGAGGTCACACTAGTGTAAACCAGGCCTTACTGGCACATTCCTATAAGTCAGGAAAACACTAGACTTCATAAAAGTTAACAAGTTTAAAGTGTATCTTTAGCCAAATTAAAAAAAAAAATGTTGGATAGAGTAGGGAAGGGTTAAAACCTCTTTCAGGTTCCTATTCCTGTCTGTTGTCACCAGCAAGGACACTGCTTCCATTTGTCTGGCAGCCTAATAGTAAGGCAGCCCATAGATAATACGATTTTCTTTCCTTCCACCAGGGGCGGACTGACCATTTGGAAACTCGGGCACTGCCCGAGGGCCCGTGGTCAGTAGGGGGCCCCATGAGATGCCCCTGGTACCTTTTTCATAGGCTTTTTTTTGAGTTTGGGCAAGGACACAGGGGCCCTATGATCCCCTATTGCCCGGGGGCCCCATGAGTTGTCAGTCCGCCCCTGCCTTCCACCATGGGTGGAAAGAAAGAAAATTGCTTGATTCCCCCATCAGCACTGAATGCCTCCCACAGCATTATTGTGTTCTGCCAGTGGGGTGTTTTCCCTGCCGGCAGAACATAATGATCACTGCTGGCAGCTATAGCTGTTGGCAATGATCACATGCAAAAAATCCAAAAGGCTGGTTATACTGAAGTCGATCAACGGATTGACTTCAGTACAACCAGCCAGCCCATATATGGATCGAATCTCATCTGGTCCTTGCTGAATCGGCCGAGATTCGATCCATCTATTGCAAGCTTAAAAATATATTTCACAGAACAGCCTTGATTCAATCAACTATCAGAGCGGTGCTGTAGTGTATGAAACTTTGACCATCTGCCCCCTGTGAAAGAAGAAGCCATTGTCCAACACTTATATGTGTTTCAGATAGAATGCCCCCCTGTTGGCCAATATAGGAGCATAGTACAAAGTGGGTGCATAGTCTTTTCGTTGTGTTAGGGTGCCAATCAAAATCAATAGAACTGAATACAGCACAGTACACAGGATATCCAAATGAAATGTGCATTTAATTGTTGAGTTACCACCACGCTTAAATATGAATGGCCTTTAAATGCTCACTTTGCATTTTGGTACTTTTTTGCCTGATGTGTGAAAACAAGAGAAACGCATGGAAGTGCATGTCACCGTGTGTTGCAATGCACTTTTTATTGGACATTGCGTATTGACATTTCAATGAAAAAAGCATCAGTTACATCACTAAAAAAAAACAACAACAATGATGTGAATCTAGGCAGCTCAAGACAGAGTTGGGTTGTCTATAATTTTTTTTCTTTACGCTCTGACCCAAGTCCAAAAGATAAATAAATATATATATATATATATATATATATATATATATATATATATATATATATATATATACACATACACACAGTATAATTATATATTATTATTTTTTTATACAGGATTATAATGGGGATGTGGTGCTGGTGCTTCCATATCGACAACCCGCACTACTAATCCATATTTTATTTACAACCACGTGGCATCTATTTCTGTAAAAATATACCCTTCAGTACCAAACCCCAAATACATAGCAGGTAGTAGGCTCCATGAACGGACTACTTTCACTGAAGCAATGTACAGGAGTGGTCCAGTAATGTTGCCACCACACTGTTAGTAGAGTTTTCAATGGGTTGTATGTCAAGAGACATCCTCAAGGTTAGCTGGTATGCTTTCTTGAGTTTCCACCCACAGATTCCTACTTTCTGTTATTTTGAAGAAATAGCTGTTTGTTTGTCTGTGTCCATGTGCCGAGTGAATCTGTATGGGAGTGACTTTATAATTATCAGTCAACTGCTGCACCTGCAGGGTTCTAATGAGGACAGTTGCAAGGTCTGCATCCCTTTAGACATGATTTTCCTTTGTTAGTATCTCACCAAACATGACATTTTTGTTGCAGGGGATGCTCAAAATCTGATTTGTAGTGCAGACTTCTGGGAAAATCAGTGAGCCAATCACGCAAGCAGAAATTGACATTTTCAGGGGGCGTTCTCTACACCATCTGTGTACAGAACACCTCCAGGTAGCTACATTGCATTTTACAGAAAATTACAGCTGCAGATTTAAAAAGGAAATGTCATTTTTTAATATCATTTAATTACAATTTGACTTGTGTCGCAATTGTATACACCATTTTATTTTTTTTATTTTCCATTTTTGTTTCTCATTTAAGTGAAGTTACCTATTAAAATTGCAAAAGGGGTTATTCATTCAGAGTGCTATGAAAAACAATGTTTTCTATAGCAACCAATTAGCTTCTGTATGTAATTTCTGACAAAGGTTCTAACCCATTCCCATAGCTAAAAAAAGTTTTTGGCTTTTGATATACAGTAAAGTATTTTTCATATATTATTCTAATAATTGCTACCATTTTGCTGTCTTTGACTTTGTATACACAGCTTTAAAGATTGCTGAAAAACAGCCAACACGTTTTTTCCTTTTATAAATGGGCACCTATCTCTGGAATTGCACAATTTTGTCATCAAATGTATCCCAGTAAAGGACAAAAAGAGTTCTAATGAAAATGCATGACATTTAGTTTGCTATCATTACCAGCCCATGTATATATTGTGCACTCATGCATCTTGAAGGGGAAAGGGGCATCAAGAGTTACTTTGCTGTGGCAATACTGAACCTCTGGCCTATAAAGTAGCTCAATGCTTTACCTCCTTTAGTTGTTGGCAATTTCATGCTAAGTACGCAATCACTCAATCACTCATCCCCTGAACTCCCAGGGAGTTTGAGAACTGGAAATAAATATACAAGATAACATCCACCTTCAGTGAGTGAACATTGTTAGAATAGCAACTATAAACATGTTTGAAAGACTATTATGAGACTGTCTCGTTTTGGATTCACCCAGTTCCAACCAAATCAGCAGTTGGCCGGCATCCCATCAGATATCATTGTTCTGTGTGTACTTTCCCATCAACGTACCACAAGGACGGCTATAGAGGTCTCCGTTCCGGGCATGGCATAAATCCCCAGATCCTTCAAAAAAGGGAAACTTCTCTGCTGGTGAAGAAGAATTCTGGCAGCCGCTGTGCTCTGGAGATATGGAATATACTCCTCCTGGTCAATGTCAAGAACCATCTTTAGCCCTGGAGAAAACACAGAAGATGTTTACCGTTACTTATGCAACACCTACATGAAAGTGAAGCACACTATACAGAAGACATGTCATGGATTCCCTGTTCTGTCTTGTTGCTCATGCATGGTCAGATTGGGACACTTAAAATGTCCCGTGTTGACTGTGTAGCACCCTCTAGTGTGCTACTAGAATAGTGTAGTGTATTGTAATTAAAATCATTGTGTAAGACTCATGGTAGTTGTGTGAGCCTGTGATTGAAGTTGCATTATTGCAGGTCAGCTGGATGACTCAACAGGTTGTGGCTCTATCGCCTCCTCCTGACTCAGGAGGACCATAGAACTTTCCAGAAGTCGGTAAGCAGGAAGGGGTGGAGACCTGATCTCCAGGTTCATGGGAGTCCGGACAATCCCACGTTTGGAGGCCCTGGTGGCGTGGTAGACTGGCCCATAAATATGGAAGAGTCAGGCTGACAGGGCAGTTGGATGGAAGATTGAGTGCTGAGGAGACTATCGGTGCCTGGGAGGGGTCCCCTAGGTCTGGGGGGAGGGGAAGCCTCCAGCCTGTCTTAATGCTGGCTCAGGAGGATATATTCAGCAGTGAGGCATGAATGGGATTGAGATTTGGAGCAGCAGGGAGCAAAGAGGTCAGAGTGAGTACAACAGCACTCTCTGGGATCTACAAAGGGAAAGACTACCACATGTAGCAAGCTTTCTAAGGACAGCACTGAGCTCAGTCCTTTATCTTTGTTCCAAGAGATCTTCTGAGAAGCCAGGACGGCTGGTAGTGTTTGCAGACTGTCGAGCTGGGAGAAGTTCTGCAAGGGGAGAGAGGACTTCTCTGCACGTAGCTAAGAGAAGTAAAGCTTATTTTTGAGGGGCTGCTAGTTCCTCGCCCATAAAGGGCTGTTGCTTCTGATCCACACCGACTGACAGCTTTCAGGAAAAGAACACTCCAGGATCTGCCTTTGCACATGGAAAGGAAGTAATTGATTTAGGCCAATCGAGCATCCCATATTTTCCCTATTTCCCTGTCCAAGTGGATTTTCAATAAAAACAACAAAACCAAGCCCCCAGTCTGGTTACTGTTTCTTGGATGCAAGTCTGTGTGTGAAATATTTGTTGCCTGGCTGTGCAGAGAGAAGTTTAGTGGTACCCACAACACAGTGGCCCCCACGAGGGTAGGGCTACAACTATGTTTGCCTGATCTTTAAAAGGAATTCTGTTTATGTTAATGGATACATTTAATACATTCAATTTGACACATACTGTGCAACATCCATTCTCTTTGCTTCTTGCAAGACCTTGTGCTCTCTAGCTCCCTTACCACCATCTCCCACGCTTACCTATAGGACTTCTCTAGAGCCTCTCCCTTCCTCTGGAACTCCTTGATCCAATCTGTCCAACTTTCTCCTACTCTATCCGCCTGTAGGCGATCTCTAAAACCAATCTTTTCAGAGAGACCTATCCCAACTCTAATAAACTGCACTTTTACGTTCTCCATCAATTCATCCCTATCAGTTAATATCCTTTGTATCACTTGACTTTCTTTTTCCCTTTAAAATTGTAAGCTATAACAAGCAGGGCCTTCTGATTCCTCTTTTATTGAATTTTATTGTATATGTACTATTAAGCTCCATTTTGTAAATTCCTGTGCAAACAGTTGGTGCTATATAAATCCTGAATAATAATACAGTATATGCAATTCAGGTGGATGCCCATACATATGGGAACTATGTAAACAATTGCATCAAGAACATCATGCATGTGCTGCTGAGGCCTTGAAATGATTGTTGCCTGACATAACAACACCAAACTCAGGAAAAATCCAGTGCCAATAATCTAAAACAGGTTTCTGCACACTTTTAGGTAGCATAGCCAAGCTAACAGCAATGATAGACAACATGGACTAGCTAAGACAGTCAAGTGACCTGGTGGATATCCAAATCCACCATGCTCTTCCATCAGCTTCTTCTATTGCAGGGGGTTGTATGTTGTTGGTTAAAGCCTTGGATAACAAGTTTCAAAGTAGCAGAAGGCTTCACATTTGATTTATCTTCATTTATCTTGACATATTTCATTACTATGCACACGCAAGTATAAAACCAAGGGCACTTTCCTTTCAATGATAAAGTCTAGAGGAACAGAGCTCGAGGACATAGGCGTGTAGTTCCTTTCAATTATACACACTATATACAGGTATGTGTTTATTTTATACAACATTTTGGGAACTGTGTAGCAAAGAAACACCACAATGTGGCCTAAACTTGAACATAAGCAGCATAAATTTTTTTTTTGTTTAAAGTTTATACAAAAGTTATGAAAAGATATGAAGTCCTCCATTGCCTTCAATGAATAAAACCATCCTACAGACTATGATTACCACCTGCCACCAAAAGAAATTGCTGCAAGGTGATAAGCAGAAAAGGCCTGATAATGTTGTATGCAAGGTTCCTTTAAAACAAACTTTGACCAGCACATCTGAGTATTCTGCACATCCAATAGGGGCAGTAGTGTCCTCCAACCACTGTATAGACAAAGCTCACACACCAAAGCAAAATAAAGAACCATAATGTAGTGTTTTTAAAAATAACCAGCTGCATATAAAATATTAGCACCTTCAACAACCGTCTGAATAAAACCTCTCTAAACACAACAAAGTAAGCCCATAGTTCACTTACATCAGGGGCTGCCACAAATGGCCCGATGCGGTGGTGTGACGTCACATATAAAAGCTCCTGCTGACGCATTTCTCACCATTGCACATATTCAGGGGCCTCTAGTGTCTGGAACAGCAGCCATGTTTATGCAGCATCTAACCAGGACTTCAACATCATACCGCCATAATGGTGTAGCCTACTCCCATCTGGTTGAAGGGACATGGGACTTTCAATAGATGAGCGTCATACTTTACACATAAAAGTGAAACCACTAAAATTTTATAGCCAAAGGCAAACTCACCTTATATCACCATCATCTAATGAAGTTAACAATGCTATTTAAATATAAATGCATCTGAAAAAGCCAATCAAAGTTGAATATGATTATGTAAAGTCTGGATAGGCTACATATGACAAATCCGTGTGGTCCATATGTAAATGGTGATTGCATCACACATGTGAGGTATCACTTCAAATGTCAGAGGGAGAACAATAATTATAGCACCAGGCACTCTGTTTAACTATAAACTGATAACCTGTGAAGGCTTTTAACTACTTGCCAACCGCGCTATAGCCGAATGACGGCTACAGCGCGATTTGTGCAGTCCTGGGAGGGCGTCATATGATGTCCTCCCAGAATGCGCCCTTCGCGGCACCCCTGGGGGCGCACACCCGGCGATCTCCGTGATCGCTGTGTCCTACGGACACAGGTGATCACATGATGTGGTAAAAGGCCAATCACAGTGGCCTTTTACCACGTGATCAGCTGTGTCCAATGGTACAGCAGATCACCATTAAATGCAGTTGCCGGTTATCGGCTGCACTTTCCTCACACTATCACAGCGTGAGGAAAGTGCTGCCGATAACCGGCAATTGTCAGAGGATGGATTGGCACCGATCATCAGGGCACTGATGATCAGTGCCCAGCAGTGCCACCCACCAGTGCTCCCCACCTGTGCCCAGCAGTGCCGCCCACAAGTGCCCAGCAGTGCCACTCACCTGTACCCAGCAGTGCCACCCCCCTGTGCCCATCAGTGCCTAGTAGTGTCACCCACCTGTGCTCAGTAGTGCCACCCATCAGTGCCACCCGTTAGTGCCTATCATTGTTGCATATCAGTGCCACCTCATCAGTGTCGCCTTTCAGTGCCCATCAGTGCTGCCTATCCGTGCCACCTCATCAGTGCCGCCTATCAGTGCCCATCGGTGCTGCCTATCATTGCCCATCATAGCAGCCTCATCAACACATATCAGTGAAGGAGAGAAATTACCTGCCTGCTACATTTTATAATAGAAACAAAGAAAAAAAAAACCACTTTTTTGTTTATAGCGCAAAAAATAAAACACCCAGCGGTGATTAAATGCCACCAAAAGAAATCTCTATTTGTGTGAAAAAAATTATAAAAATTTAATATAAGTACAGTGTTGCATGACCGCACAATTGTCATTCAAAGTGCAACAGCGCTGAAAGCTGAAAATTAGCCTGGGCAGGAAGGGGGGATAAGTGTCCGGTAGGGAAGTGGATAAAGAGTCTCCTATGGAAATGTTTGGGAACCGAAGTTTGTCGCTGGTCTACAGTCGTACACAATTTTAAAGTTTGCATGTTAGGTATTGAGTTACTCAGCGTAACATCATCGTTAATATTTTACAAAAAAATGGTTATTATATTGTGTGCACTAAAATTAAATAAAGTCTATATTTTCCTGAAAATTTGCACAAATATTATGCCACTTAAAAAATTGCAACAGCTACCATTTTTATTTTTCAGGTTCTCTGATTTCCAAAAAATATATTTAAAATATATTTTTGAATATGTTTGAAGTACATTTTTAGCAAAAAATGCTGATTTTGACATCAGACATGAGAGCAGAGTCAGAATTGTTCTGGGGTAAAGCGGTTAAAAAAAACCGGCAACTTTTCACAATAATCACTCATCTCATTGCGATTCCGTCTCATCCATCAAAATTGCCCTTTGGGTACATTCCTCAACCACATAGGGGGTGACAACTGTTTATAGGAATGTAACCATACCTGTCTGTAGGTTAAAAAAAATACATTTAGTGTGTACTTAATAAATGAAGTCAGATCCAAAAAATGTAACTTCTTTTTACTATGGGTAAAGGATAATCTAATATTAGGATCATTATCATTAAGGGAATTCATAAAATTCTCTTACAATCCAAAATTGCCTTTTCACATAAACAGAATATCATCATTCTAGTTTTTCATTTCCTTCCCCTTTCTCTTCCCCTTCCCTTTTTTCTTTCTTTTTTCCTGCTTTCTGACAATTGAATCACATAGAGTGTTTTTTTTATTTTTACCGCTGACTTTATGTTCACTTTGCTTTTTCTACTTTAACTGAATTGTTGTAAAAATGTCATGCTGGTATCTGTAGTCCGCACAGCCGCTGCTGTTCCCATGGGTAGTAAGATACAGCAGTGTGCTTCCAGGCCTCTAGATGGAGCAAAGAGCTCTGAGCAAGTAGCCTGTCCTCCAAAGACCTTCCCCGTGACGTCATGTCTGCCTATGCATTCCAAGCTGGCCCAGGCACTTCCGGTTGTCTGGCGGCATCCTGGCATCTCTGCGTCTCTCCATCCACAGCTCCAAACCCACACTGGCTGATCTTTAGAACAGGAAGGACTGCCAGTGACCAATATTATTGATAAGCGCCCTTTTTTTTTTCTTTCTTATGAGTGTTTAACACCTCTTACTTATTAAATTGGTCTTTTAATACTACACTTAGTGGTGCCTCCCCTTGTCTTTTTCTTGTCTTCCATATACAGAGCTGGCATACTCTATTGATGGCTGCAGCTGATGTTGCTGGGTTTTTTTTCTTTTTTTGGGGGGGGTGCAAGTAGCTGGTCTTGCCTATGGCGCAAAATAGTACAGTATCAGCCCTGCTCCCCTTATCTGCAATTAGAATCTCCTATCCAACCAACAGTAGGTATGGGGCATGAAATAACTATAAGTCAACACACAAAAAATATAATACCCATTAAAGTCGTACCACAATCCTTCCCCTGAAGTACCAATATCATATATCAACCGATTTAAAATACACCCAAAGTCCAAATAAATGTCCCAAATCATGAAAAACTGTGAAAAATTGTCCAAATTACATCCAGATCTTGACAAATAAGTACCCACTCATACACAGTGAAGATGAATCCCAGATGTTTTTCAAATACCTCAAAAAAAGAAAAATCTAGACATAGTGTATTATCTTAGGTCTTAAAGACAGTGCCACACGTGCAGCATGCAAACACTATAGTGCCATAGCAATCGTGTAAACATACTCAATATACACCACTGCAAACCATATAGTAAAAATGCATAATTACCCTAAATTCAATATAATCAACATGTAATCCAAAATTTTAGGCATGGAATATCCTCAGATTGACATCCTCTTCTCCAGACACTTCCCTTAGACCTCACCTAAGACTGTATTTTATTCCAAAATGTGAAGGATATATGTACTTTGGAGAGAACCAGGGGTTCAAAGTAAAAGTTTTTTCTTAGCATCTACCGGAAAAGAATATGATATGATACCAAGTATATGGTATATTTATAATAATAGACAACTAAGAAAATGAAGGAATGGTCACCCCTGCCCTCTTGTGACGTCATCATGCGCTGTGATTGCCCAAAGCATTGCACCTGACCAGGTGAACAGTCCGCCTTTACCATTGGTGTGCTCACCAAACACACAAACGGTCCATGTTCGAGTCGAACATAAGTTCGACCATGAAGCCCAACCTTAATTGTAAGCATCCCTGTCAGTGGTAAATGGTTTGCCTCATCCCTGTAAACTGACACAGTCTTCTGGGGAGCTTGTTCTTTTGAAAACAACAGACTTTGGGGGCTAGATCACCACATAAAAATAGAAGAAAAAATGCTTAGAAAAGAAAACTAATGTAACCATCACATCTAAGAAATGGTAAGCTACAAATCAATAAATGTTTGCTTTTGGGTTTAATACTGCTTTATTTATTTAGTGTGTTTTTCAGTTGCTTTGTGCTTCTATATTTAACAGAACTTGGAGGTGTAATTTGTTATAATCTCCTTAACAAAATTCAAGTGAAAAGAAAATAAAGGCATCATCTTATTGAGTCTTGGGTGCAAGTCTGTCAGAATGTAGCCATCAAGCATTTTTGTCTCCTTTTAAGCAATGAATTGTGCTGACTAGAGAAATAGAACAGAGCTACTGCTATGACTAAGTGCTACTTCACTTGAAGTAGCACAATTTCAAAGACAGCTGTGATTTGTACCTCCGATTTGACTTCGGCAGATAATATGTATCTTTTGGATATTCTATAAAGTGTATAGCATAGAATTACCTTCTGGTAGTCCAGGAGTTTGTAATCTTTTTAAAGTTTATAAGGTTTTGGCATTTAACTCACTGTCATCTGGAATCATAAATCTTTTTTCAGGTTTATCATTCATACGTTATATTTTTATTGTATTTATTACTAGTTCTGTCCTTTTTGGGGAGATCTGACTTAAGTAACCAAAGTGAGGGGGAATCCAAAATTTTGCAGTTGTCATTGGAACTGACTCAGTGAAAGTATCTCCAATAGTGGAACTTAATCCAGTGACAAGATGGGATTTATTCTTGTTTTGGAAAGCTTTTTGGCCCTTCTAAATCTAATGTTTTGACTGGAATTACAGTTTAACCATTTGCCGCCTGCCCTATGGCCGAATGGCGGGCGGCAAATGTCATCAGCGTTCCGGGTGGACGCCATATGGTGTCCTCCCGCACATGTGCAGATTGTGCTACTGCAGAGCCGCGCAGCGGCGCGATCTGTCACCGGCCGTATACCTCGGACACGGCCGATGACAGATCTGAGTATCGGCCCCGTTGCCGGTACCATGTGACCTGCTGTGACCAATCACAGCAGGTCACATGACAGTTGTATACAATGGATGGCTTCATTCATGCCATCCATTGTATACTAGTGTCTAGCTGTGAATGGTCACAGCTAATCACATGCACATGTCATGTGATTAGCTGTGGCCAAATCACAGCTAAGCACAAAAAAAAAAAACCCTGAATGAATCGATGTCATTCAGGTAAATGCTTGCTTATAGCAAAGTAATTCTTTGCTATAAGCAAATTGTGTAAAAAAAAAAAAAAAAATACTGATCACTTCCCCAAAGTAGTACAATGTTACTATGTTACTATGGTAACATTGTACTACTTTGGTCATAGTGAAATATGAAAAAAAATCTTAAAAAAAATAAAAAACATTTAATAAAAAATAATTTAAAAAAAAATATATATATTTTTTTTTTTCATACTGTCACCAGTCAGTGTCCTTGATCACCGCCATGCCAGTTATATGATGACGCTGTACTGCACTGGAGACAGTATGTAAAAAAAAAATAGTGAAACTAATTTTTTTAATTTTTTCATTTTCCGAAAAATTATGACAAAAAAAATACAACTTCAAAAAACTCGTCATGCCTCTTATGAAGTACGTCGGACTGTCTACTTTGCAAAAAGGGGTCATTTGGGGGATATCTTTACTGTTCTGACATTCTTGGACCTCAAGATGTTAGATTGGCTGTCAGTACTTCAGGATGGATCAATATTCAGATCTATCCCATAGTTTGTGAACTCTATAACTTTCCTACAAACTAAAAAATACATCCTAATTTGGGTTATTTTCACCAAAGACATGTAGCAGAATACATCTTGGCCTAAATTTATGAAGAACAATTATGTATTTGCAAACTTTTATAACAGAAACAAAAAAAACCTTTTATTTTTTTCAAAATTTTTGGTCTTTTTGTGTTAATTTAGCAAAAAATAAAAACCCCAGCGGTGATTAAATACCACCAAAAGAAAGCTCTCGTTGTGTGAAGAAAATGATAAAATTTTAGTTTGGGTACAATGTTGTATGACCGCGCAATTGTCATTCAAAGTGTGAGAGCGCTGAAACGTGAAAACTGGCCTGGGCAGGAAGGTGTAAAATTGCTCGGTATTGAAATGGTTAAACAAGTATTAGATGATCTGAAACATTCCCTTAGGCTTTGCAATTTATTGAACAAGCCTAAGACCATTGGAATTCTTACCATGTATTAGGAACGTTGTTCCTCTGGCTGAAACTGAAGTCAGTATCATTAGAATGATGACTTGAAAGATGGAAAAATCTTAACCAATGATAAAGTATTGTTTTGTAATAACATTCTGTACATTG